GGGTCCACCCCATGTCGTCTTCTCACAGTGGCATGGCACACTTGATCCTTGTGCCGCGCCTGCGGACCATCTGCATGCACTCGGTAGCGATAGCCCTCCATGGTGTAGGTCTTCCCAGATCCTCCGCGAAGAATTTCTTGTACTCTTCAATCAAGGTGGTTTTCGGATGCTTTGGGTCTTTGGAAACGTCTCATTATCATTATTTCTGCAGAGGAGTTCAGGGATGGGATAAACTCATGAAATCGGCCGTTTGCAAAGATCTTGTTCAAAGCAGCAGAAGCAACCTAGCTCAAACGCCTCTTTTCTCATTTTGATCAAAGATCCAAAGAACCAAAGCTCCACCCATGCTTCCAAACACACCCGCTTCTGTTTTTCTGGTTTTCCTGTTTGCCCATATGCGAAGACCGTGGCGTGGTAGCCCTCGGCCACTTTGGCGATGAGCTCATCGATATTAAGGCCCTGGTAGACCTCCTCTTGACTGGTGCTCGGACCGAAGACAGAGCCTTAGTGAGTCTTCTCGTTCGACCAATCCATGATGATGTCTTGACAAAGCCAAGGTGTCCAACATCCTTTCTGCAAGGGCAAGGATCATCATCCATACTTGCAAGTATGCAAGTAATTATGGTGCCAGGATCCATACTTTTCAAGGGTCAAACTTTTTTTTAAAGATCATACTTGCAGGTGCACCGGACATGTCGATGTAAGAAGCATTTGCAGGTGCTGTTACTGAGTTTTCTGCGCTTTTTGCCGAAAGGCCATCCGTGAAGACGTCGCTCGTCGCAGGGAAAGGCCATGCTAGTGGGCCACTAGCAGCATGGGCCTTGTAGCTTCTGGTCTTTGATGGGTGATCTGGCAACCATCTTTTTCGATGATGATTTCTGATGTTGAGACACTGGTGCGCACATTCACACATGCTTCATCGCAAGCTGCGGTAGCGGGTGGAAACACCTCCAAAACCCAACACTCAGTTCACATCTAACTTTCAGCTGAATCGGCGCATGGTAGGTGGACCATAGTCGGCCATCGTCTGGAGCCATTTTTTCGCAGAGCCAAGCGATGCAAATGGACCAGGCACGAGCCCAGATGGATTGTAGCTGTGGGAATGGTCCACCTAGTTATGGGTTATGTCACCGGGATCCTTTGGTTTACCCACCGACGGAGGGACGGCACCGGACGAGGCGCGGCCAGCGGAGCAGTGGCGCTTGGCGGGTTGCCAGCGGACGAGGGGGAGCGTTTGACGAATGGGTGTGATTGATGGGGTGAGGGTATAGTACCAGGCGGAGTAATTACGCACGAGTACACTGAGAGAGAGCTTAAACAAGGCTTACATTCATCGTGCCAAAACAACACGGGACGTGCAGTGAGGCAATTGGTTGAAAAGAGTCTAAAAGACCGTGCTTCACTGGGAATGGAGGATGGAGATGTCACCCGCATGCGTTCGACATGGACATTGACATCAAAACTGAAATCCAACTTGCGGTGGGTGGTCCGGCAACTCTGACCGAAAGGCAAACAAATGCTCTCGTGTTTTATCTATATACCTGCTTTCTGCAACCCTCACTTGCCAAGCGGCTAAAGCGAAAGTCTTGCGGTTTCCGCACCCGTCGGCAGTCTCGGTCTGCGATGTTCTCCTCATAGAGGACATGCGGCGGGAAAAGGAGGAGGGTGACTGTATTGAGCTGGTTGATGTTCCCCATGAGTGTGGAGAGATGCAAAAAAAAGTAAAAACATATATTGTAATTTATAACTATAGAAATTATGAACGTTTACCTGTTGAATAGCAAAGGAGGCCAAGAGAATCTTGATGGCTCAACCATCTGGCTCACCTAAGTCCTAAGGGATTCCGCCAGACTGGCACATCCTGGTTCAGAAAAAAGAAAACGCCTGGTTCTTTTTGCGAACGCCTCGCGGGAATTCTGTTGATGACCTGTTGCTGCTGATTGCTTTGACTCTAACGTAAAGGCTTCCAATTGCAACAAATACCCAGCTGACCCACAGGTCAGCTATGAAGTGTCTCATGTCAAGAAGGAGGAGGAAGAGGAGGACGAGAGGCCGCCCCATTTCATCTAGAAGAAAAGATTGCATGCCGCCACCACGCTGGAGAACACCTCAAAGGGACACCTCAGGCTGAAACAACTCTCACCATGCCTCCAGCCACTCCTCCACCCATGCCTCCCACCCCTACTCTCCTCGCAGTTCTCTTCTGCACTCAAGCGCACGGTGCCTCCCTCCCCGCGCAGGAGCGGAACTTCGACCTCCTCCGAGTCCAAAGAGGGGCGAATGCGCACCACCACCTGCTATGTCTGAGCGACGGAACGTGGAACGTGGGTGGAACGGAACGTGGCACGTCAGGAAGAAAAACAATGGCGATGATGGCACCAGGTGCTCTTTTTCTGCTAGAAAGGCCCGTTTTAGGGAGGAAGTGGAGAAGAGACTTGAAAATCAATGTTTCACCTCTCCCAGTTGACATGTGATTCGCGTTGGAGCACCCGGCAAGACCCTCGGATGGCACGAGTCCGCGCCAGGGAGGGCAGGGGGCACTACCAATGCATACCAAATGCAGCAATTTCAGCCATGTTCTACACCACAGCATTCACATTCATTCGCATTCAGCCGTGTCCGCCCTGCTGAACCAGCGGACATGGCTGAATCCATGGTTGCTTGCACGGACAAAACCATCAAGAACGCCAAGCTGAAAAAGCACCCGTGTCTGCCCTTTGTTGGTGAAATGGGTGCGAGTCTGGTAGATCACTGGCTCTGACAGGGCGAAAAGAGCTTCATCTCCACGACATGATCCACATGGGTTTACAATCAGTATAGTGACTGACGGTTCTTTTGATCTTAAAACCCTTGGAGCTTTCACTGATCAAGAGTCATCAGTGTTCCTGATACATCGGTGTTGGCTCGAATGGGACGAGGACCAGGCTCCGTGGCTCAGCCGTGGGAACTGCTCACCCGATCACCCGTTCCCCCACAGGTTTTTCACGCCTGTACAGGAGGAAGACTTGGCTCCTGAGCCTGGCACTTTTGCATACGAACATGTCTCATTCTGGAAGATAGGCTGTGTGACGGGTGCTGGGTCTTTCTTTCTTGGGGCCGTGAAGTAGGTGGTTTTTTTTACAGACCACATGACTGTGGCTTGGCGCGTCTGTGGCCACCGAGTGAGTTTACTCGACGCCGTTGGTTGGCGCTTCGCTTCAAAAGGGAAGACGGTCGACGGGCGGACGGATGATGTCGGATGATTGGTCCATGTGGTTTGGTCAATCCAAGGGATTATTTTCGGCGGGTTTGAGATGGTTTGTTTGAGAATTCTAAGAGTCTACATTACTTGAGCAGGAACGCCGACAAAAAGACCTCTTGTCATCATGAACACAGGACCTTTATGGCTCTTTCGAGCTGCAACTGTCCATGGAACAGCGAAAAACAGTGGCTCCAGCGAATTGGGCATCCCTAATTGCAGTGAAACCAGAACCGAACCAACTTGGCCAGTTGACTTGGCGCGACAAGTTTCAAGTCCAGTGGCACCAGCCCATCAAGAGGCAACCAACTGGGCCTGTTTGTGTGAAATATACCAGTTGTTGGTGGCTTCTTTCGAACCGAGGTTCACACCTGACAAATCTTCTCAACTTGCCATTGCTGTCGTTTAAACACACCTTGCAATCACCAGCTTCACTCGCAGAAATATCCTCCGCACCCGTTTCACTGCGAGTCCAGGCCCGATTGTTCAGACGTCCCTTCCACACGCCCAAAACGGTCGACCGGCACGGCGCGGGGCCTCGGAGGTGGGCATGTCCCGCGCGACCTCACGCAGTCGCCGGTGCCAGTGTCCGGATTTGAGGACGGGCGAGGTTGGATTGACCAGCGATAGCTCTGCCCGTTGCGGAATCTGTGGTCAATTTGGAGCATCGTTTGACCAGTTCTCCTGCTCAGGGTGCTCAAGATTGGACTATGCCAGTGATTCTGCCTTCCACTGCTACGTCCCTATGCAAACGACGGACGAAACTCGAAGCCAGGCCTATGCTGCATAGGTGGCTGCCAAGCTTTGAATGGCACTAGGTGCTATGCGGTGGGTGCGCCCCGGGTGCCAAAGATTGAGCTTTTCTGTGTATAGATACATTTGGCAAAAAAAGCTCTGCTCCTGAGAAAAAAACAGCGAACCAACCCAGCTCCGCTACCGGGTTCGTTACCATCTGAGCGGCTGCTTGAACCGAACGAAAGCCATCTGGTCATCCGACCTTGCTTCATGGTGTCCCGATGGAGTCATGGACTTGGTGAAGGGTCCAATGAGCGTTTCTGAATCCCCAGCTAGGTGAGTCATCAGGCTGCTTTGAGCCCAAACAGCTTCCGGCCAGCGCAGTCGCATTTTGTCCACCTGCCTCACAAAAACTGGAAGAATAACTGGGAGAATAACAGGAGGATACAGGAGGTCCATGGTTTGACGATCCAAGAGTGAGTTGGCCTGGGATTGGTGATGTCCGCTCTGATTCAAACTTCAAACCTCGTTGGTTTGCGCTTCCGCACCCGCCTTTTGTAGCAAAGGTGCATGATGCACGTGTAGATCATTGCAAGCTTGTGCCTCATGTGGAGGTCCAAAACGTCAAGATCGTCAAGCTTAGTCAAGTCAAGCTTGGGCCCTTCCAATGAAAGTCGGTCCATCTTTTCTGCAAAATTCAAGAAAAGAACAACAAGAAAGCCAAAGGGCTGAACTGGTAAGGCGCTCAACCCCTGCAACTGTCAACCACAACTAGCTTCATGGATGATCATCATCCCCAGGGCGCGTAATTGAGCAGAAAACAATCCACCAAAACGTGCCAATGTCCACCAGCCATGTGGATTTCTGGTTCTTGACCATCTTTGACCCATGACCCATGCCCCCAAATGAACCGCTATGGGGTCTCCCCACACGAACTAGCGGAACTGCACTACCCACGGTGCTGAGGCTGCTGAGGCTTCGACGAGTGGCAGCAAAAGAGGCGCATGTGGCTCCAGGAAGGGTGCTTTCATCTTGGTGGGGGCGCAGAAACGGGTGCATCGTCTCTTGTTCGTTCTGCATGGGCTGCAAAGGGGTGTGTGTTTGAACAGAATGTTCGAGTTGAGTAGTCTGAACTTTCGTTTCTTCACTCTCCAACACACATCCACATCATTGAGCGCTCCCGCAGCTCATCACAACTGCCTTCTAACACAGCGCTTGTATGGATTTATGACCGCGATGACCGCGCAGCCGTTTTTACGGACATGCAGAATCCTCCCGTTGACGCTCCCGTTGAGCCCCTATGAAGTCATGTCATAAGTGGCCGCCGCTGGGGTTGGGGTCTCAATGCGCGAGCTGAGGGACCAATTGTTGTGTCGATCTTCGAAATGCATTGGCTTTCTGGTAGCTCGAGACTAAGCAGGCCACAATAAAGCCCAACCTCCAGTGGAAGGGAGGTCAGTCCACCAAAAGGGTCCATGCTTGTCCGGGGGTTGGTGCTTCAAGCTGCCTTCGAGAAGCAACCCGAAGAGGGCGGTCTGATGTTCTCCAGTGGTGACCCACGTGCTCAGAGCTCATCTCTGGTGTGGTGTGAGTGTATCATATCATGGCCTCTCACTGAATGGTTCACCCAGGCATGCATCAAATGCCGCACACAGCAACACAATCCTAAAAGCTATATGTGAAACAGCTTCGTGCCGCTCGCACCACGAGGGCTATGCTCCCCTTTCTCAGCAACTATTCCTTCTTGGAGCTGCAGGATGCTACATACCGATGTATTCAAACGAAACAGGCAGAGAAGACATCTGTTTTGAAGGTTATGAGTTATGACCTCCTTTTTACAAATCCTGGGGCCCACCGGAACCTGAAAAACTGGCCGATCCTGCAGCGACCGGAGCGCCAAGCCTTCCTGGGATCTTCCTCCAAAAATTGTCTCAGACTCTCAGGACATACTTGGATGACCATCCCTGGTGTTCTGCTTGGTTAACCTGGTCCTAATCGTATCACTCGCACCACGGTACGAAACGAGCTGTGAAACACGTCGGCAGAAAAGCTTACGTTAAATCATGCACAAGCCAACGACATGGACAGTTCAGCAGTGTTTCTTGAGGCGGATGTGAACTATACATCTCAATTTTTGTTGGCATCATGCTTTTCAACCCACCGTTTGAACCCGTGGCTTGGCACTTGGTCAGTCGTCCAAGGTACACTTCAGCCACCGTGTGCTCGTCATACCATCCAAGGCGGCCAACACAAGAGAACGCAGAGATCACCTCCACAGCGGCCCGGCCGGCCGTCGCCGCCAAGTCGGTCGTCCGCTGGGTGCCGAGTCCGTGAAATTTGGGCTCTCCATTGATGCCGATGTGTCGTAGCCGTAGCCGCCAAGGAAAAAGACAATAGTATCAATAATGTTTTATATATAGAGTTATATATTATTTTATATATGTATGTATTTGTTTGATATATAAAATCTTCTAAATGTGTTAGAGATCGGAACTACCTTTACAAGGATCCCCCCAATCAGAAGACATAATGTCCCTTCCTGCTCCTAAGTTGGTCAAAAGAAATCTTAACCGGGTTGATCTTCGATCTTTACCTGCTCCGTTTGATCGGCAAACTCCAAACAGCAGCACCATGCATCCCTCCACCCTGGCCTTCCGCAAATCCCACTTTCCAGAGGAGACCACCTCGGTCGCGTCAAACGCGGCCGAGAACATGGCCGCTCGGCGGCGTGCGAAGGCGACCAGTCGTTGGTTCGGTCGGTCCAAAACCCAGTTGGGCCACACGTACATGCAAATCCCACGACGGCGACCGACGGCGACCGGTTGATACCCAGGATCTTTGATTCTGGCGCCCTACCCGTCATGCAATTGCACCCTGATCTCAAAACATCTCGAAACCATGTTATACTAGGATTTACTAGGATATATATATACATAATATAGATTCCTGTGCCTCTAGGTGACATGTTAATTTTGGATGCCTTCTGAACGTTTTGGTTTTGAAAAGGTGATGTCAACCCTCAGGATGGCGCAAGCAAGGGGGATCATACAAAAAGCTCCGCTGGGCTCGGATCGTCGTGGTTTGAGTGTTGGTTCGAGCGCCACACATGGCAGAAAGAAAGCTAAAGCGTAGCATGCGGCACTGGCAATTGCTTCCTTTCGGTCTCCAAGATCCATCCTTTCAGGGTTTCAATCTCACCAGGGTTCCTCGGTTCATCTTTCATACAGCAAAACCATTTCTGGATTTGGACCTTCGTCTTCCAAAAAAAGCCCTGCTTGAAACCATTTCCACCTCGTTAGATGCAGTTCGACTCCCAGTCGAAGGTGAGTCGTCGCGGCCCGTTCACCGACCGTCCCCCGACGGTGGCCTCTGCGATCGCAGCATTGAACGCCGCAGGTGCTTGCTCCAGTGGGCTATTCACCTGGCCAGTCCGCGAAGGTCAGGCGCGATCTGTTTTTGCCAGGTCTTTCAACCTGGGTTGCGAACTCACCCTGCTCGATTTGACCTCCATAGTCATAGTAGTCTATGGATCCTCTGTAAAATTCACACGACAACCCCGGGGGGGGCATTTTGTATCTACAAATGCCTCACCCCAGGTCCAAACCAAGCAATCCATCTATAAAATGAAGCCCCCCAAGATAGAAACCTTAAGTCAAAAATATTTGGGTTGGGGGTTGGCCTGAGTGGGCTCACAGAAATTGATCAGAAAAGTGCGCTCTCTCTCTCTCTCTCTATAAAATCACCCCCTCCAAGGCTCCAAGGAAGATGCTTCAACAACCATCTCTACAAAACGGGTTCTATATAACCCTTTTCAAAACTATGGTGGGTGGGTGCACATCAATGCTCGAGTCAACGGAAAGATATAAAAACAACTGTCGTTTCTATATACCTGCCTTGCAAATCCTGTTTTTGCTAACATGCTCAAAAATTGCCCTGCTCACTCTACAAAATAGGAACACCCAGGACAGTGATTCTATAGAAAACCATAGGAAACCTATATTTTCTCTACAATATGGTCGTTTCCAATACAGGGGTTGGCCCAATTTGTAGAGGACATTTCACAGGGGATGTCTATGGCAGTCGACATTCTGTTCCTTGCTATTCCGTCGTGATCCACCAGGGTCACCGTCATGACTGACCCATCCCATCCCCACCTTTAGCTGGACCAAGCTGCACCCGCCAATGGTTCAACCACCCAGACCGACCCCGGACGGACCCGTCTCCCAAACCGGGCCCCCGGCCGACGAGCTCTCAGGACTCTCCTGCGAGCGGTGACCACTCGGGGCGCTCGGCATGCGGAGTGAACGTGGTGACTGGGTGCATAATAAAGGCGTCGACAACTGAAACGGAGCCTCCAAGATCAGTGGTTCTGAGAGGTTCTGAGAGGTTCTGGTTCTGGGATCTTCTAGGGGCCTCGAAAAGCTGTTTTCCTCCAGGGCCTCTGAGTCAGATGTGTGTTCGACATGAAAAAAACTCCAGCAGCTGTGGGTCAAGACATGTCAAGACCCGATTCCGCCCATTCTCTTCTTTCTCGCTCTCCCGATTCCGCCCTACTCATGTCTGGCAGTCCATTCTCTTCTTTCTCGCTGCTCTCACCCCAATGACCCCGGCCCAACGGCCCGGCGCTTCCGCCTTTGGCGGTGCTTTGGCCAAGGCGTCGAGAACTCGAAGTAACGTGCCGTCGGAGAGGCCTCGACGGGGACGGCTTCCGGGTCGTCGGGTCCAACTCCGACCCGACCGGAGACAGAGCGACCTGGTGTTGGGGATGGTCAGACCGCTACCTGCGGGTCGACCAGGGCTCCAGGTTTGGACACATCTACTAAATCAGTGACCGGCATCATGTTGCATGGTGGCTGAGATAGATGTGTTCTTTCGTACGGCCAGAAAGCAGGAGTCTGTCAATATCAGTCAGAATATAGCCTCTTGATTACAGTAATGCAACCCCCATTTGAATCGGAAAATCCTCTTCATATCTCTTCATGGTGCTTAAAAAAAACAAGAGTCTACATGATTTTGGCAGGGCTGTACCTTTTCAGCGGTCACACGTACCCACCCACAAACCGACCATCCCTCGCCTTGCAGATGCGGCAGGAGCTGTTGAAGTAGACGAGGAGTGATGCGCTCGAAGAACGGCTAGCGCGACGGCTCAGCGGACCGGGGCGTTCGAGAGACGAGCGCATGGGGTGGAAGACCTGGCCGAGAGTCTTCCAGGGGCGAAAAACCTCGTGGCGCAAAAAGGGCATCGGGTATGTTGAGACATGTTGAGACCATCCGTTGGAAGAAACATGGAAGAGACAAAGGTTTTCTTGTTTTTTGAGACATGTTTCTTCCATCTGTTTTTTTTTGTGTTTCTATGCACATGCCTTTCTCCGCTTCTGATCTCGTTTTGTCTGCTTCTTCTTTCCCAGAGGCTTTGGATCAGGCTGTTCTTAACGCCCACAACAGGACCATCTTTCGCCCAAAACACGCATCGATCCGATACACGAAAAACCGGTCCGGTGCACGCGAACGGTTGGCCTCATCCAAGTGCCTCAGGGAACACAGCATGGTGGCCCATTGCTCTGGCCTCGGACAGCGCGCTGACGGCAAGCGCAACAGTGGTCGACGTGTGCTTCTTTAGAAGGGAAGACGAAGGAAGACCACAGGCCTGACCAACTAACAAACCCTCCTGAAACCAAGAACTATCAAGTTATTCATCTTTCTTGTCTTTGTGGGTCTACATGTCTACACGACTCAACTTGGTGAAAAATAAGGATGAAAATGGATGACAAAGGCACATTAATGTGGCTCCATTCGGGAAGGTCCAAGCAGTCGAAGCCCGGTGCCAAGTGTTATTGATTCCTTGATTGCTCACACACAAATTCCGCAAAGAAAGGACATTCAAACATATATTAAAGCAACAAAGACACACACACACAGATTCGGACATTAAAAAGAAACAAACAAACAAACTCCGCCATCCGCCCAATCCACTCCTCCTCACTCCCCTCCCCACCCAACCACCACGTGCCCGCACGTGGCCACCACTTCGCCCAGCTCGCTGCGGTCCAGGAAGGCGGCCGTGAGGCGGAGCGGGAGGTCCTTCCGACTCCCCGACCCAATGCGGTACGCTCCGGCGGATGAAAAGAGCGGAAGGTCATCATGGATGGTGGATGGTAGTAGTGTGAGGGGATGCCCTGAGCACACTGGGAGAAAAAATGGTGTGAAGAAACATGTTGACCCCCCGATATACTGATATGCCACTGAGATACTATTCGGACACAAAGCAGATTCATGAGAAGACGCCTCTTTTGCCGTCATTTGACTTAGTCAGATGAATGGCAAAAGCTTGGCTTTCCCAACAAAGGGTTGGATACGAGAACCTTGCTGTGTGGGAAACGCAGGCATCGTTACTTGCAGGGATCCGAGTCCGCAGAAAGAGAAGGGTCGTAGTTGAGTTGAGGCTAACCTGGTTTTTCTGATAAATCTAAGGGGTTCTTCCCTTTTCACCTAACCATCTACCATCATCATGTTCTTGAGCATGTTGAGCCATCAAACCCTACCCACTTGGTTCAGCCTGCCGAAAATACGCTCGCTCACGCGGCACTCCGCGGGTGGTCGTTGTGTCCTTGGGCACTGGAAAACTACTCAAGGCCGACAACAACCCTGCAAAGTAGGCGGTCGGCAACGGCGTCAACGCCTGCCGCACCAAAAGAAATGAACATCGAGGCCACCCATGTCTGATGTCGTCGTTGGTCTTCTTGCTTTTGAATGTCCCGTATGCTTCCATCAGAATGTGCATTCCCCCATGTTTGTTCAGGTATTCCTTCAGTCTTTGGTCTTGGTATTTGAGATGCTGAGGGGCTAGAATGCCTTTGACTTTGATATCACTGATGGAATATGAATTCACACGATTCTTGAAAGCAAATTCGTCATCAAATATGTCTGCCTTGAACCTCGTTTTTGAATGCTTGCGAGTGCTTTGTTCTGGTCCAGTCTTTTCGGCGTTTGTCAAGGCATATCGCAGGAAATCGGCGCCTCAGGATTGGAGAGCAGCTTTCGTAGAACTGCTTCCACCTCATGCCTGAGATGCATGTAGAATTGTCCATATATATATAAGAATGCTGCCCTCGGTCATGGGGTGTCTACAGACGCCCTGAAACGATGCTTTTTGGGGGCCATTCCGGCCAGTGGAACATGTCTTGGAGATCTTGGGCTACAGTACCATGCTGATGCTTTCGGAAGAAGATGTTGGGCTCAAATTACACCCTACAGGCGGCTAACGCTGCCAATGGGAAAACGGAAATGCGGCTGGCGCTCTGGGCTCGGGCACTGAGAGGTTGAAATGATCACATCATATCAAAATAGCCTGAGAGTAAGCTTTATCGCTTTATCCACCTGGTGCACATATTGATCTTACATGTTGATTATCTGCATATCCAGCTCTGAAGAAGAGGTCCCAGAATGAAAGCTGCACTTTTTGACGAAGCGAGCTCACCGTGACCTTCATGTCCCACCCGTCCCACCTGTCCCTCACCTTCCCAGTGGTGAAATCCGACCAGATTCCACCACCGACTCATCGCTCGGTCCATCGCTCGGACCGACTGAGCTTCCACACTTGTACCTGGAGGCTCCGTCCGGGCCATGGGGCCGTCGGGGCTGCGGGCTGGGAGAGTGCAACAGGGTGCGGTCGAGTCTTTTGGAACTCACTACTTGCTTGCAAGCATCTGTGACCATCCAAAAAAAAAGCAGATGTATGATGTAGGGATGCTTTCTTCAGGGACTCATCTCCAAAAGGTGTGAACAAAATCGCACTTGGAGTCTTGGGACAAGGAAAGGACCTATCCTTCCACAAGAACGTGGGCATGCAAATCAAAGCAGATTGGGGAGTTTCATTCAATCTCCTCGAACTGGTGGAGTTTACGCTGATGTTTGATGGTCCAGTTTGCTTCTCGAAGTCTCATGAGAGTCTGGTCAGTGTCTGAACTCCATGAAGAAAGAAAGAAAGAAAAAAGAAAGCATCGAGAAAGAAAAAGGAAAGCTACTAATAGCAAGGACGCTATTGCATGTCCATTGAAATCGTCACTGAAGTCATCGAGTGTGTCCCTTTTTCAGTGGTCTTTGGTAACCCCCGGTGCGTCATCTTGGGCAGATCGGTTGGTTTTATGATGTGTTATGTCCAGTTCTCCATCAGTTTCGGCCACTTCTCCGTGAGTAAACGTGTCGGTTTTGCAACACCGCTCCGAACTCCAATCAGTGGCTCAAAACCAAAAGCAGTTGTTCATCATTCTTCATCTGCTGAACCAAAAAGCACCTTAAATCCAAAGCCACCGCAAACGGCGGGTTTGGGTGGTAACGGCGACCCGACCTCCTGTTTTTGGGACCTCCTCTTGGGCCATGGAGTCATGAAACACCAGACCTGGCAAGGCCAGGTGAAAATCCTACGCGCTTCTAGGGATCCAAGTACCTTGGATACACTGTTATGTAGCTTTGCAGTTTGGCTCCAGTCGTACCGAACGGCCTGGACGGATCCCTATAGGGACACTACTCTAAGTCGTCCTCCCGCCGCCTTACCGTCCCGTCGCTGCCGGTTCTTCCCACCGAGGTGCCACAGATCCATGACGCGGCACATCCGCAGGAGCAGAAAGTGGGAGAGTTCCACCTCATCCTTCCTGAGAGGACCATGGACTGGACAGCATGGACTGCTGGGCAATCCTCGGGACAAGGAGGGGGCAATCTCAAAGTTGGTGTTGCTTCTGGAGTGATTGGTAGACAAGAGTTAAGTCCGCTATAGTTCATAATATGCATTTATATATATGTATAAATATATATACACAGCACGTGAGACAATATGATAATTAAAGGGTCCGATGAAAACAAACGGTCCACGTTCCTGATCATGACCAGTGGAGAGGAGAACCCATGACCCAAGATGATCAGGTGCCTTTCCATTGCCGGTCAATTCCCCGGTCTGACGCCGTAGTATCCAGGCTGCTCCATTTCGCTGATAGCGCTGTATTACGTCAAACAGCAATTGCTTCTTAAATGGAGGTCAATAAAATTCTAGGTATGAGGCAGGCAGTTCCACGCCCTAATTGCAACTAGTCCGTTCAGAGTGACTAGTTTGCTTATTGACTTGGACCCTCTACGCGCATGCCGAAGTGAACAATATTCATCAGGTGTCCTAAGTAGCGAGGGTAGCGGGCAGTCATTGTCAAGAATAGAGAGCAAAAAGGAAGCAGGGAGTACAACAAACGATGGTCACTTCAACCCAAACATACATTAGGTGTCCTCAAATCTTGCGGCTAAAAAAGAAGAAACATCCTCATCACGAATTTCCTATGACTCACTTTGTTTGGGGTGAGGTGATAGGTCTTGAACTTTTTGTGTGTGTGTGTCAAACCCTGTTTCTAAGGGCATTTTCCCCTCTTCCTAGAGTTCTTGTTCAAGCAGGGGCACTGAACACTCCTTGGCAAACTCAGTGCAACGAAGCTATGCCTTGGAGTGGGAAGCACGGATTGATCACCCGTGTGTACCTGCGACAATTTGGAACTGTTGAACGCGCTGTCCAATTTACTCTTTTGCTTCCATGGTTCTTCATGCTACCTACCCCCAAACAGGTTTTCCCGCCGTTTTGCAGCCGCTTCCACATGCGCTTACTGTGAAGCTTTGGTTCAACAATACTTTTCTGCGGACTCATGCGCCTTTCCGTTCCTTCGCCTTCCTTCTCGACTTGGGAATTGAGTTAACAGAAAGCCAATGTCAGAGTGTGAACTGCTCAGCCGTCCCACTTGGGTGCTGAGTGTGATCCTCCGCAAGGGGGCGCCGTTTTCATTCCGGAATTCGTGTAACTGATTCTTCGTTTCCACCTTTCCTTGCATTTTCTTAACAGCCTCAGTGTCACCACTGAATTGCCTGAATCATAAGCCGCCGGGCTTTCACGAAAAGACTTATTCACTGAATTAGCCGCCGGGCTTTCACGGAGAATAAACCCCGACGTGTCTCTACCCCAAACACCCCAACCCCCCCCAACCACTAATTAGGGTAACAGAGGGAAATGGTACTCGACACACTTGTGTGTCGGTGCCTTTCCCTCTGTTGTCCCTTTCCTAGTCTACCCTACCCGGGCGGTTTAAGACTAAAGTCCCGCTCCCTAACTATTGCACTTAATTCATTTCTGCTAAGTAGTCAATAACTCTAGAGTGCTAAGCATTCAGACACACACACATGTACACACACATGGACATACACCCCCTCCCTGCCCCCCGCTTTCCTTCTTGCGCTTTTCGTCGTTTGTTGAGCTTTCCTTCAGGCTTTTTAGGTGTCTCTTGAGGCTCGTTTCCCTACCCCAGTCAAGGGCTAAGTATTCACCTTTTGCGTCACATGTGCGCCGAAGACGGCCACGTGTGTGTGTGTGTGTGTCAAAACCTGTTTCTAAGGGCTTTTTCCCCTCTTCCTAGAGTTCTTGTTCAAGCAGGGGCACTGAGCACTCCTTGGCAAACTCAGTGCAACGAAGCTATGCCTTGGAGTGGGAAGCACGGGTTGATCACCCGTGTGTACCTGCGACA